GGGGAGGAAATCTGAAGCTGTCAATGTGCTGGGTTGTGCCAGTGTTCCCAGCTCTGCCCATGCCAGTGGTCACCACTTACCATGACATGTTTTTTATCTCACAGCTCTGGGGAGAAGCTGCGAGTCTCTTTGCTTCTCTTCCAGCTTTCTTTGAAAGCTTCAAGCTTTCAGCTACATCAAACCCACTGCTTGTTCCTAATTCTGTTGAAAAAACCACAAATGTGTACCACTAGGGAGTTAGTGTGTGATGTGAAAGATTCTCTTAAATATTTACTCTTAACACAGAAGCAGACTGGAATAATCCACATGTGCTGAAGAGCTGTGTTCCTTTATAGAATGGAGCTGGCATGTTCTTTACAGTTGCACCTCTGGCAGATGCCTAGGAGAAGTGCTGTTCATCTGGATAACTGCTCATCTTTGGATCTGGAGTTGCAGGAAATAAACTTTGCTGTGTCCAACCACTGTCTGAGTGGTTTGCATTCAGTGTGAGGAATGTAAATGCTTTGCAGATTCATTGATGGGGCCCAGTGCTCATTTCCTTTATAATCAGCAGAATCTTCATGTTCTCTTTGCAGAAATAGCTACTAGAGAGGGTGGGGAAGACTTCCTGGGAGAAAAGAGAAGTTGTAAGCCAGCTGTTTGCCTTCATCACTGACGACCTGCCTGTTGCTTGAGGAGTGTTTGAAAGGCAAGGGCCCACGTTCCAGGAGCGCAACTGTAGCTGCTTCTGTTGCCCAAGACACTCCTTGATCCAGGAAAGGGAACCAGGTCATGGCCCAGGGTTTGTCACAAGACCAGTCTGGGCAGATCCACATCCATGACTGAAAGAGCCTGGAGATTAGCTGAGCATGGGAACAGCACAGGCAGCAGCTCCTGACTTTGTTCTGAGTGAAACAGCTCAGTCTCCTGAACTGGGAGGAATTAATGGATTACAAGATGAGGGCAGCTTGCCTTGTTTGTGGTCATTAAAACACAGCAGCGCTGCTGGGACGGTGCCACTGGCGCCATGGCTGGTGGGGAGCTCAGTCAGACTGGTCAGACTCCACAGAGCTCAAACACTGCTTTTTGCTTTACTGCATAATGTTCTACCTCTCCCAGCCATGCAGGGGGAATGAGGTTTGGTTCAGCTTCTGCTGTGTGCTCTGGCTGCCACTGTTAAAGCTTTCCTGCTTCTGCTCTCCTGTGGGAGCTCTTGCATGGGTCTTGGTGGCTCCTGCAAAATGAGTTTTTGTGCTCTGAGGGCCTGTTTAGGCACAGCAGCTGTTAACTCTTCACTTAAACTCAGTAATGCTTTTTCAGACAAAGCTCTGTCAAACTGCTGACTCTTCACATTCAAGTTGTCTGTGTTCCTGTACCATGGCAGACACCTCCTAGTTTATTTTCCAGAAGATCTGGTAGCGCTTTGACCTCAGCCATCTCCTGGAGGAAATGCAGCTCATCTGAGGAAGGGAGTGCTGGGCTGGGAGCCAGTCAGGTCTCTACTCCTTCACTGAATTTAGTAAATCAGAGTAATTCCCCAGTTGTTTCATGGATTATTTTTTTTTTCTGTAGGAGAAGAGTTCTGCTGCTTTTGGGGCCAGGGACCTGAGTTCAGTCATTTAGCAGGGCTGATGTTGGAAGCCTCTCCTTAGTGTGACCTGAACTTTGGGCACATCAGGATGCTACCATTCAAAATGTTTGTCTTGGATGTGTCAGACTGTGATGGTGACCATGTTGTGCTTCTGCAAGAGTAGAATTAGTTGAGATTGTTTTGCCTGCTCACTTGCTGCCTGACAAGATGTTGTTTAAATTGGTAGTTAGACCTTTATTTCCCTTGGAGTTTGCTGTTCTCAGTTGCTGCTTTGTATTCTGTCACCCCAAGTAAGTGAAGGTCCAGATTTCTAGTGGCTGAGCCAACCACTGAGACCAGTGAAGCAACCTGATGGTGTTGAGGACTGACAGAGAAACATCTGTCATCTCCATTGAAAGCACTGTTTGCAAAGTCAGTTTCTTGGGAGTTCAAGCTTGATGCCCAAACTTGCTTTCTGCTTCCCTGGCTAAGGTTGGGTTCACCCCACCTGCACATCCCACCTAGGCAGAGGGGTCTTGCCAGCCCTATGTGGGACAGGAAGGCCAGGGAGGAATGAGGTAGGTAAAATAAAAGCAATTCTCCTGTATATTTAAAGCAGGAGTAATGTAGGTCACCTTAATCTGCTCTCCCTCCTCCCTTTCCTGCAGAATGGGAGAACATCCTGGCCACGTGTGCTGCAGGGTGATGATGATGAGGGACCACCTTTGTCTTGCTGCTGTTGACCTATGGAGCATCCTGTGACCTTGGGAGGCTTCTCTACCTGTTTATTACCTACCAAAAAATCAAATATAGCTCTTCAGCAGTATGGTGGAACAGTCTCGTTTCTGTGCATGAGATCACTTCAAGGTGATTTAATTCAATTATTTAAGTTATTATTAAATTATTTTTGGGGTGGAATTCCTGATTTGTGGATGGAACTGTGATTCCATTTTAAGGGCAAGTTAACAGCATCCTCCTGAGCTCTAGGAATTTCACAGCTGGTTTTTCTCCAGCTATAGTTGGGCAGCAGTACAGTCACAGCACTGCTTCAGATGCTGTTTAGTCCTGTCAGCCCTCCAGTGATGGGGTTGGCTCAGAACAGCTGTGTGTGGATTTTTATCTCATTCAGGGTTGCCTGAGCTCAGGTAATTGAGGCCACTTGGCACCAATTTGAGCAACTTGAGTGGGGGCAGTTTGGGTTGGTGCATTGTTACAACTTACAAAGGGTTCAGAGCACTTGAGTATTTTTATGTAATTGGCAAATTTTGAGAGCTTTCATGAAGTCCTTTCAAAGCTCAAGACTTATCTCCTAAGTCCTGTGAGACTCCCAGCAGACCACAGTGCCAGAAACCATAGAGTCATAGAATCTCCTGGGTTGGAAGGGACCCACAAGGATCATTGAGTCCAGCTCGTGGCCCTGCACAGAAAGAACCCCAAGAATCTCACCAAGTGCCTGGGTGCATTGTCGAAACACTTGTGAACTCTGGCAGAATTCAGGTGACCTCAGCCACCACCAACAGTGATGTATCCTGCTTTGTCAACACAGTTGATAAAATCGTGGGAGTCACAACAGCTGAGATGGGACATGGCTTGTTTCTGCCCTTGCAGCCTGCTCTGTTTTGTTACTACTTTGTCTGCAGTGGATCCCACAGAGGGGACAGTCCAGCTTAAGTCATTTGTCACCTCTGGGGTCTATTGATTTTACTTGAGGTCCTGAAAAACTGAAGGATTTAAGAAAAACCTTCAGGCTTGGCATAAGGCCTAGAAACACATGTGTGCATTGTACAAAGCAAAGTGAAGCTGGAGCCTGCCGTGGCCACTGGTTGGGTGTTCCTGTAGGATGTGCAGCTCTTTTCCCAATGTAGGGCTGCGAACCAGAGTTCACCCTGGCTTTGTAACACGGATGGCATTTACCACGTGGGTTAATGGGGGGAGAGGGAAGAGTCCTCTGCAAGGCAAAGTGATGGACTTTAACTGCTCTAAAAAATCAGGGAAGATCTGCCTGTCTTTGTGCTACCTTGTCATGTTTGGCACATTCTGTGACCTGGCCATAACGAAATATTGCCAAAGCCTCTGCTTTGAGCAGAACGCAGCAGCTGGAAACAAAGATGTTTGCAGTAGTTTTTCTTTCTGTAGTTTCTCTGCACATCTGATGGACCAGATTTTGCAGATTTTTCAGTATAAAATTGTCCATTATAGCATTTTTCAAAGGGAGGGAGCTGGCTAAAATCCTCCTCTGGCTAAGTGCTCCTTCCCTGAATGTGCTAATGGCACTTCAGCAGTCACAGTCACTCCACTTGGATGCTGATGTGGAACTTGGGTGTCTCTCTGCGTTCTTGATTCCATAGTTTCTGTCAGTGTAGCGGGCTCTGCATCCCTGTGCCAGGATGGAGGGGTGGTGTGCTCAGTCCCACATGCAGCTGAGAGGGCAGATGTAATACCTGAAAGCATTTGTCTTCTCTTTAAATGTCACTTTTAACTGGGTGTCATCTGCAAAATGACAGTTTTCCTCCTCTCTCTATGTGTTGGGTGCCGCTCGCTCCATCTGGCTGGCTGTGTGTTGACGGGGGCAGTGTACAAAACGCAGAGCATTTGCTGGCAGAAATGCAAACTGTAGAGATGTAAAATAGTCCCTGACTTCAAAGCTGGAATAGAGACAGCAGAAAATGAAGCTGAAGCCCTCAAAGCTGTGCTTGTCATTGTTAATGACATGCTCACTTGCTGAGGTGGAATTCAGAAATAAGGCCTTGGGTTTCACTCTTGCCTAACAGGTGGGCATTATTTGGGGGTATAAATAACACTTGTTATGGAATGGTTTTTGGGGTTGGTAAGGAGTGTTTGTTCAGTGATAAGAGCTGAAATCTGGAAGGTTAACAGTTGCCTTTGCTTAATGTATTATTTTTCCCCCTGTGATTCTGACTTACATTACAAGACAATGAAGTTTTTCAGGAGGTGGATATTGTGTTGCATTTTGTAGCTTTTCATAGATTCCTGGAATATCCTGAGCTAGAAGGGACCCACAAGAATCCCAAGTCCAGCCCCTGGCCCTGCCCAGACCCCCCCACCAAGCCCACCCTGAGCATCCCTGAGAGCGCTGTCCAAACGCTCCTGGAGCTCTGGCAGCCTTGGGGCCGGGCCCATTCCCTGGGGAGCCTGGGCAGTGCCAGCAGCCTCGGGGGGAAGAACCTTGCCCTGAGATCCATCTCAAGCCCTGGCACAGCTCCAGCCCTTCCTGGGCTCCTGTCCCTGTCCCAGAGCAGAGCTCAGCCCCTGCCCCTCCGCCTCCCCTCGGGAGGAGCTGCAGCCCCCGAGGAGCCTCCCCTCAGTCTCCTCTGCTCCAGCTGAACGAGCCAAGTGCCCTCAGCTGCTCCTCAGAGCCTTCCCCAGCTCCGTGTCTCTCCTCTGGACACTCTCCAACAGCTTTGGATCCTTCTGATCTGGTGGTGCCCAAATTGCCTCCAAAACACAAGGTGAGGCTGCAGCCTTGTACTGATTGATATGCATATGGATTTTTTTATTTCCAAGATACTTCTTCTCAACCCAGCATCTCTTCAGGCTTAAATTAATTTTGATGGTAGAGAACTGCTGACAGTCTTTCTCCTCTGTAGTCTCAGAGGGTTGGATGTTTGTTTTCATTTCAGTAGTGGGCAGGAGTCACTGGTGGATTAACTATCTGGGACACTCTTGAGCAAGTGGCTTCTGAACTGATAATGCCAGAAAATGCTTATTTAAAAAATTAGAAACATGGCAATTTGGGAGGAACTTGGTTTAATATGTGCAGGCCCTGGTTTTGTATGGATGGGATGGCAATGAGCAGGCTTCCACAGGGGATGAGATTTAAGGTTTATAACAATCTCAGATACTGTGACTCTCTGAACTCCCAGGTTTTAAAAGAGAAAGATTGGATTTATTTTTAATCTTTTCTAAGCTGTAAACTGGGAGTGCAAGGAGGCTGGAAGTGCTCAGCATGAAGAGCAAACTGCGACCTAGAGAAACAAGGTGGGTTTTTACAGCAGCTGAAGAAAGGAAATTTCAATGCAAGTTTTTCTGCAAAGTAGGGTAAAAACTTAATCTGTAAGGGTGAGGTGGGGTGAAAAATGACTTGATTCAAAACCTGTGGGAGGAAGGGATGTGTCTGAATGGCAGCTGCTCATCTAAAGGTAAAAGGAATGTGTTGCAGGCAGAAGTAGCAAGTGCTGCCTGGTACTTCATGTTTTCTATTAGAGCTCCTGTTTTTGACTTGACAAGAAAACAATCTCCAAACCTCCTTTGCCTTATGACTCACCTTTAAGTGTTGGCAAAACTATTGCACCCATTTTGGTGAAGAGGAAGCCAAGAAGCCCATCCAAAACTGCAGAGCTTGGTCAGGCCCATCCTTAAAAGGGGCTGCAGTCCCTGCAGGATGGTTCTGCTTCCTCACACCTGCCTTCTCCTCTTCCCACAGACAGCCTTCAGCTCTTGCCTGCTCTGAGCCTTCCAACTGCCCTTCTGCTGCACTTTGTGGAAAAACTCCCCTGCTCAAACCTGCTTGGCTTCCTTGGTGTGGCTGGGGAGCCCCCTGCTTGTTGAGGACAGAGCTGTAGGCTGAAGCCATCTGGTTTGAAAGGAGGCTACTGGATTGGGAGCCAGGAAATGTAGACCTTAACCCATGAGACTGTCCATGTCAGACTGTGGTATCCTTTATTCCCCACTGAGAACTGTTGTGTAAGTGTTGGCCAGCATCACCGCACACTTCTGTCTCTTCCTGCCTCCCTGCAACCACCACCATAGACCAGAAAGCTGGTGGTTGGGAGGAGAAGCCTGAGCACACAGCTGGGTTGTCCTCCTGGAGATGCTTTTCTGAGGGAATATTTGATGTCAGTGTGCCTGGCTGTGGCTTCTGTTTCTCTCCAAACAGAGGAGCAGATTGTGCTGTTCCTCCTCTCTTTTGCAGGTCAGTGGTAGTGTGTGTTTGGCTGATCCAAACGTATAGTGTACTGGTTCAGGGGAATGAATTCACTTCTTGTTTTATTGAAGTCTTAGCAAACAGTGTTAAAGAACTCAACAGGTTCTTCTGTGTAGTTCAGAAATGCTGAAGTGAAGTTCACTCCATACTGCTGGCTTGAGTTGTGTGGCCAGCAGGACCAGAGCAGTGACTGTCCCCCTGTGCTGGGCACTGCTGAGGCCTCACCGCGAATCCTGGGGTCGGTTTTGGGCCCCTCACAACAAGAAAGACATTGAGGGGCTGGAGCGTGTCCAGAGAAGGGAACAGAGCTGGGAAAGGGACTGAAGCACCAGAAGCAACTGGGGGAGCTGGAAAGGGGCTCAGCCTGGAGAAAAGGAGGCTCAGGGGGCCCTTCTGGCTCTGCACAACTCCCTGCCAGGAGGGGACAGCCGGGGGCATTGGGCTGTGCTCCCAGGGAACAGGGACAGGAGGAGAGGAACTGGCCTCAAGGTGGCCTATGGGAGGTTCAGGTTGGACACTGAATTTCCTCACTGAAATAGTGGTCAGGCCTTGAAACAGGCTACCCAGGATCATGGTGGTGATGATATCCTGGAAGTGTTCAATAAACAAGTAGAAATGGCACTTTGCTGTATAGTTTAGTGGGCATGATGAGCTTCAGTCAGAGGTTGGGCTTGAGGTCTTTTGCAACCTTAATGATTCTATTATTCATACAGCATCCCAAGTTTTTCCTTGTGTTGGACAGATGCTGAGTAAAACTCTGAGAAGGACACAAGTTGTTCATAGCTCAGGACTCTGTTTGAGAACTCAGAGACCAGAAGTTGTTCCCAGTTGAATCTGGAGCTTACAAAGTGATTTCAGTGCACATTTATGAGCCGTGTAGGCAGGCAGCCTGGGCTTTTCCTGAGGTGGTCACTTGTGTTTAGAGCCCAAATATTCTTAATTGTAGTTCTCTCTGTTTAAAGCATGCCTTTCCTCCACACCCTCACTGGAGAAGAGCTGCTCTGAAGCTCACAGCCCAAGTTCTGGAGGCTCTGGAAAGCCGTGAAAAGAGCTGACCCAGATGGCTGGGGTTCAACTCCAAGGTAACGTGTTGTCTTTCACCTATTAAGAGTCTTCTATCAGACACATCCTAGAAACCACAACATCACTTCAGAGAGACCTTGACCACTCCTCTGTCCTGTGCAAGTGCAGGAGTTCCAAGGGTGAGGCACATCTTGTGCCCTGTGCAAGCTCAGCCCTAACTGGTGCTGCTCCCAGAGGGGCTTGTGGCTGCACTGGGTACAAGTGTGTACTCAGCCTCGGAGAAAACAGTGCCAGCAATCTGCAGGGTCCTCAGCACCTGGGGATCTGCAGGAGTTTAGAAGAACAAGCTCAGCAACAGCCTCAGTTCTGCCTGAGCAGCACCTTGGGAGCCTGAGTGCTCTTTTGGATTTTGCTCTTTCTTCTTTTGCATCTTTGTTTGGGCACATACCTGTGCAGAGTGTGGAGATCTGGTTCCCAAATGAATAAATAAATGGGCATTGCTGCACTTGGTTAAATAGAAGTAATAAATTCCTGGCTTAGCCTCATAAGTGCAAGTCCTCTAGGCCAGGCTGCAGAAGCTGCTTTTCTGGCTTAGCCTTGAGGAGACTGCAGGTCTGTGCCAGAACCAGCCTGTCCTTCAGCTCGTGGCTGCCTGCACTGTAGGAGGCTGTCCCTGATTGCTGGTGTAATGCAACTGAGGTGTCCCTGTAGCCCAGCATGGGCAGCAGGTTATCTCTTCATGCCCTCTTTGGATGTCTCACCTGCTTGAATTTCCTAGTAAGAGCTCTAGAAGTATTTTTTGAAATGTTTTTTAGGTACCTTCTTTTCAGCTGCTAGCTGAGTCACTAGCTGCCATGCTACAGCCAGGATCCCAGGAAGAGGAGAGACTTCTTGCTGAAACTTTGAGTTACGATTTTTGGCAGCACACTCCATCTTTGAAACTTGTCCTGCTGTGGCATGTTTTCTTCCATCTGTTCAGGTGCCTTTCCGAGAGCAGAGCAGGAGCATCCGACCAAAACACTTGAGTCACAGAGAGCAGAAGGCCTCAGCTAGGCCAGTGAGAAAAGAACATGGTAATGAGCAATAAATTTGTTCTTAACCTCTGATTTCCCACACCTTGTGTCAGTAGCTTTTGCCCTGGCGATGTTTCCTGAGTCTGACAGCACAGGGGCCTGTTTGTCCAGAGCTGCTGCAGCTCTGGGGGATGTTTGCTCACAGAGCCCCATTTGGGGCAAAGACTAGAGGCTCAGGACCCCTCCTGGGTACAAGCCCCCTCAGCCTGGCAAAGAGAGGAGATGTGGGCATGTCCAGGGAGGGGATGGATCATGGAATCACAGAATAGTTTGGGTTGGAAGGGACCTTAATACTCATCTTGTTCCACTGCCTTCCATGGGCAGGGACACCTTCCACTAGATCAGGTTGCTCTAAGCCCCATCCAGTCTGAGCTTGAACACTGCCTGGGACAGCCACAGCTCCTGTGGACAACCTGTGCCAGGGCTTCACCACCCTCACAATCAAGAATTTCGTCCCAGTATCCCATCTAACTCTGCCTTCTGGCAGTGGGAAGCCACTCCCCCTTATCCTGTCCTTCTAAACCTTTGTCCAAAGTTTCTCTCTGGCTCTCTTGGAGCCCTTTTAGGCACTGGATGAGGCTCTGAGGTCTCTCTGGAGCCCAGGTGAACAACACTTGGCTTCTGAGCAGAGGGCCTCTGTGGCCTCCTCTGAACTTGCTCCAGTAGCTCCATATCCTGTTGATGTTGGACCCCAGACCTGGAGGCAGCTCTGCAGGTGGAATCTCACCTGAGTGGGGTGGAGGGGCAGAATCCCCTTCCTCAACATGCTGGTCACAATTCTTTTGATGTGGCCCAGGATCCATCTGGATCTACCTGGAGGAAAGAATTTGCAGTAGCTGGGATGGATTAAGCAGAGTTTGCTCCTGAAGAGCTGGCCAGTAGTCACTTGGTTGATCTGTGGGGTCTGGATGGGTGGTGCAGGAGAGGCACAGGCAGCAAGGGTGGTGAGGTACTGCCAGGGAGGCACAGGACATGCTGATGGGAAGCAGTAGGGTTGGAAGAGTAAGTTTTGATTGAGGCCAAGAAACCAGCTCAGATGAGCCATTTCTGCATCCTGGAGATCTTGGGTTTCTCCTTTTTAGTAAATCATAGAATCATGGAACCATTGAGGTTTGAAAAGACCTGCAAGATTGTCAAGTCAAACCTTTGGTTTCTCTAACAAGGATGTGTCACAGCTCTGCTTTTCTGAGCATGTTTTCTTAACTGTGTTTTCACTGGGACCTGGTCAGCTTGAAAACCATGTCTGAGTTGTGCAGAGGATGTGCTCTTTGAGGGCTGCATCACACTCTATCAAACTCACACTCTAAAAACTGGAAATGCAACCTAATGCTTTTGCCTGGACGTCTGTTTTTGAGACAGGTAGGAGTTAGAGATCCCTGCCTCTTTTCCCATCCAGGCCTTATCCTCAGTGTTGGGGTGCAGAGCTCTA